CTGCTTGGAGCCGGCCCCGGCCCTCAGCCCCAGCCCGGCCATCTCCCCGCAGGCACGGAGGATTATCAGCTGAACAGCGAGTGCAACAGCGACGTGGTCTGTCCCCACAAGTGCCGCTGTGAGGCCGGCGTGGCCGAGTGCTCCAGCCTGCGGCTCACCAAGATCCCCGAGCGCATCCCCCAGTCCACCGCCGAGCTGTGAGCCCCCCAGCCCCCCGCACTGAAACATACTTCAGTGTCTGTCATTCACGGTGTGTAAGTTTCCTCGATTGCCTCTTACAGGCGATTAAACAACAATGAGATCTCCATCCTGGAGGCTACTGGCATGTTTAAAAAACTCAGCCACCTGAAGAAAATGTGAGTTGCCCGTTGGCGGGAAGGGTGCAGTCAGGACGCTGGCCGGGGCTGCAGAAGGAAGATTCTGGGTGTCGGGAGCTCCTGCGGGGTAGGGGGGCAGGGCTCCTGTGCACAGGGATTGGGTGTCGGAAGGGGGTCGGGGGTCCTGAGCTCCGTCATCCTCCCGCCACCTCCTCTCCCAGCAATCTGAGCAACAACAAGGTGTCAGAGATCGAAGACGGGGCCTTCGAGGGCGCTGCCTCTGTGAGCGAGCTGCACCTGACCGCCAACCAGCTGGAGTCCATCCGCAGTGGCATGTTCCGCGGCCTGGACGGCCTGAGGACCCTGTGAGTGTGTGGGCCGGGGGAGGGTGGTGGTGGACTTCGGTAGGCAAAAGCCAGAGAGCGGGTGTCTGCGTTAAAGGGAAAGGAGCAGAGGGTGGGAGGCCCCCTCTCCCTGGCCCCAGTTCGCAGGAGGAGGGACAGCTGAGGAGCCTGAGGGCAGTGGCAAAGTAATCAGACGTTGGTGGTTGGTGACGGTGGTGAGGCCTGTGTCTTGTTCCCTGGGCTGCGGGCCGGTGCCTGGTGAAGGGGTGGAGGGAGGCGGGCCTTCCGGAGGTCCCCTCTCCTTGCCCAGGCTACAGGAGCACACACAGCACGCGTGTTCCATTCCGGAGCGGCCGGCTTGACGGCAGGCAGGAGAGGCTGGTGGCCCCAGGGCGGGACATTGCAGAGGAGACACCATGGGTGTAGGTGGGCGAGCAGTGACGGCCCACCATTTTGGGGACGCTGGGGTCCCCTGAGCCCAGAGCCCACCAGAGCTAACCAGACATCAGACCCAGTGGGATCCCGGTCACCTGCCCCTCCTCTAACGGTGCAGTGGGCCACCCTGGCCAGGCAGCGCTGGCTCCTCAGTGGTCATGCGGACCTTTAGCGTGTCCAGTAGACAGTGCCGTCCAGTCGGACTTCCCACTGTGACGGAAATGGCCCTCGTCTGCGCTGCCCAGCACCATGGCCCCCAGTAGCTGTGGAGTACTTGGCATGTGCCTAGTGCTGCTGAGGCACTAAATTTTAAATTTCATTTCCTGTTATTTTGGATTTTATTTCCTGTGTATGCATATGTATATGTATATTTTTCTATTGATTTCAGAGAGGAAGGGAGAGGGAGAGAGAAATAGAAACATCAATGATGAGAGAGAATCATTGATTGGCTGTCTCCTGCACTCCCTACTGGGGATCGATCCCCTGCCACCCAGGCATGTGCCCCCTTGACTGGAATTAAACCCAGGACCTCAGTCCGCGGGCCGACACTCTAGCCACAGACACTTTCCTCAAACCTAACCCAGTTGTGTCCCTCTTCAGCCAAAGCCCTCAGCGGCCTCCACACTGCCCACAGAATTATGTTTAAACTAGAGGCCCGGTACACAAAAATTTGTGCATGGGTGGGGCCCCTCAGCCTGGCCTGTGCCCCCTCGTAGTCTGGGACCCCTCAGGGGTCCCAGAGCCAAACCAGCCAGGGAAAAATTTCATTTCCTTTTAATTGATTTAAATCTAAACAGCAACCTGTGGCGAGTAGCTGCTGTGTTGGGCCGCATGGTCTGGAAGCCCTGCCTGGCTTTGGAGCCGGCCCTGCAGCAGGCTCCAGCTCTGTTTCTGAGCTCACGCGGCGGTTGGGTGAGGTCCCTGAGTGTAGGAAGGACTCTCTGGGGATTTTTTTCCATTTTACAAAAAGTGGATTTTATTATTTGCCGTGTTTTACAGTTTGCTTTTTCCCTTGCGAACAGTGTGGCCACTTTGCCAGGCTGTGCACCTTGTATTTCTTGAGTGAGGGTGCCGAGCATCCCTGGGGTCCTTTCTGAGGAAGACTTGGGTGGGAACAGAGGAGAGGGGAGGGCTGGCGCTGGGACAGAGCAGAAACGCCGTACCCCTCCACCCTGCAGAAACAATGTGTATACCTGCGTACACATGCACACACGCACCCACATGCGTGCATGCATACATACAGACTTTTTCATGAATCCTATAATACGTTTTCTTTTGTAACCTGCTTTTTCCTGAACCACAACATGAGCACCTTTACAATTCATTAAAATGTCTTTCACAGCATCACTTTGAATGTTATTGGAAATTTAGACTATTTCTAATGTTTAAATGTAAGCAATGGTGTGATCAATATATTTGTCATGCAATTCTGTGCCCACCCAGGATTATGCCCTTGGGAGAAATTCCTGAACGCAGACTTGCTGGGCGAGAGCACACAGTGCCCTTCCGTGCATCTCACCAGGGCCCTTCCAGGGAGGTCCCACGTCATTCCCCGCCAGCCAGGCGTGAAAGTGCCCAGTCGCCCACACCCCTGCCGACCCTGGGCAGCATCACTTATTATTATTATGTTTTTATTTGTAGTTTGGCAGGCAAAGATGCAATATCGCTTAAATGTCTTTGATTACTATTAAGTTTGAACATTGTTTATGACTGCTCATAAACCATTTTAATTTCTTTTGGGAATTGCCTATCCTGTGTCAGGCTGGGTTTTGTTTTTGCTTGGGGAGGAGAACTGAGCCAGGTTTATCTGAACAGAGACTTTAGCAGATATAAACGAGGAGGGAGGTTATTGTAGATGGAAATCCTAGCCAGGAACAGCAGGGCAGTGTGGGCCTGGGCAGCAGGTCTGCAGGACAAAGGAGTGGACAGTGTGTCACTCTCTGGGGGGTGGGCAGGTTGGACAGGCTCCAGAGGCCTACTGGACATGCTAAAGAGCAAAGCATCTATCTATCTATCTATCTATCTATCTAACCCTAAGCAACTGTTATGACCAAACGACCCAATGGTCGACGGGTCACTATCATACGGACTGACCACCAGGGAGCAGATGCTGAATGTCCCCTGGTGGTCAGTGCACGCCCACAGCCAACCTCCTGTGGTCCCTCCCCCCCAGCCAACAGCCCCGATTGGCCCTTCCCCCTACCTGGCTGGCCGGCCCTGATCTCCCCGATAAGGACTGGGCAAGACAGTCCCAATTGGCCTTGACGTTCATTGTAGGCAGCCTTCATTTGTTCTCTCAGTAGATACTTGGCAGAAACTGTTGGGACATTCTTTTCCTGATTTACTCACTGCTCCACTTACACCATATAGGAATTTTTATAGCGGAAATAGGTTCGTGTTCTGGTCAGAGTAGAACAGGGAAGGGAAAGGACTGCCTTTTGAGAACAGGGTGAGAGGAACCCAGTCATTTACAGTTCCTGTGGCCGTGGGGACTGTTGAACGTTACAGCGTATCAGGCACTTGTCTAGGAAACTATAATTTGGGCCCATGAAGAGAGAGAATCCACACAGTAACTTGAACAGGGGAAAGTTCACTGTAAACTCATTTACTGTAACGGGATTAGGATAACGAGGGATTTGCTAGTAGGAAATTAAGAGAACTCTAAAGAATGTAGGTGCAGCAGATACAAGCCCCAGCGGACTCTGGACAGAGGCAGAGCCCCTGGGAGGAGCGCCTTCCTGCCACTCCAGGCTCAGGCCCAGGCTGTTGGAGCGGGCACAGCTGCAGTGGAGAAGTTGCTGGAAATCGGCCCTCTGGGAAAGCTTCAGGAGAGGGTTTCTCTTTGGAGGCGCTCCGATACAGATGTGTCTGAGGAGGGTTCCTGGGAAGCTGCAAGTCTCTGTGTGCTCAGGGCCTGCCGGCTAGGACCTGGGAGCTTTGGGGTGGGTGTCCTGGCCTGCCTGCTAGGACCTGGGAGCTTTTGGGGGGTGGGTGTATGGGCCTGCCTGCTAGCACTTGGGAGCTTTGGAGGGTGGGTGCTCCGGGCCTGCCTGCTAGGACCGGGGAGCTTTGGGGTGGGTGTCCTGGCAGCAGCTAGGACCGGGGAGCTTTGGGGTGGGTACTCCGGGCCTACCCGCTAGGACCTGAGCTTGAATGGAGAGGCCGGTGGGGGGAGGCTCTGTTGATGGGGAGGAGGAAGGAGAGGGAGGCAGCTCTCAGTGCTGCACCCACCCTACCCCTGCCTGGTGGTGGTGGTGTGTGATATAAGAGCAATAATATGCTTATTGTTTTAAAATGGGAAAATATGGATAATAAAAAAGAAAGTAAACATTACCAATTATCTGACTTTCAGAGAAAGTCCCACTTAACATGTTAGTGGATTTTCTTGATATAAGTACATTTAACCCAGAGGCCTGCCCCCTGGCTGCTCCAGGTGCTGCAGGCTTACGGGTTCACTCTGTCTGGCATATGCAATGGGTACGGAGCCCACCTTGCTCCTAACTGGTCTCCAGACCTGAGCAAGTTCGTTAACCTCCCCAAATCACAGTCAAGGAGAAATTCACCATCCTACGGATCTACTGGGAGGGCTCCTGTGTGCCAGGCCCCGCTCTGGGCACTAGGCTCCTTCAGTGAACAAAGAAGAGGCACGTCTCTGCCCTCACATTCTAGGGGTGAGAGTGGCGCCCCTTACTGCACTGCTAGGGAGACTGTTCGATAGTGTCTAGCGCATAGTGGGTGCTCAAGAAAACGTGTGGCTGCCACCCTCTTCTCTGCTATGTCCAGGGCCATCTTGGGTCCGAAGTAGAAGAGATCGATCCAAGACCTGTATTAACCTCACAACAGGTCCAAGGGGCTTTGTCCCTGGTGGGGGAGGGGCACAGCCAAGAGGAGACATGGCTCCTGAGGGAGGGTCCAAGAGGGGCTTCTGTTCTGAGGCTCCCCACACATGGCCCTGGATACAGGAGGCGGCCGGCCCTGATCTCCCCGATAAGGACTGGGCAAGACAGTCCCAATTGGCCTTGATCGCCAGCCAGGCTGAGGGACCCCACCCGTGCATGAATTCGTGCACCGGGCCTCTAGTTTAAACATAATTCTGTGGGCAGTTTGGAGGCCACTGAGGGCTTTGGCTGAAGAGGGACACGACTGGGTTAGGTTTGAGGAAAGTCTCTCTGGTGTTGAGGTGGAGCATGGCCTGGAGACGGGGGAGGCACTGGGCACCCGGGGAGTGAAGGAGAGGGCTGCCGTGAGGCCATACAGGCTGGAGGCAGAGGAGGGCACTGCTGAGGCGGAGGGTCTGGAGGGGGCACAGCTGTGGAGGGTTCAGGTGCTGGGGCTCAGTGCCTCCCGGGGAGAATCTCGCTGGTGGTGGCCAATGCACCTCTCGGGCGGAGGGCCACAGGGCACAGCGTGGGCTCTCCCCCACCCGCCCCAGGATGCTGAGGAACAATCGCATCAGCTGCATCCACAACGACAGCTTCACGGGCCTGCGCAACGTCCGCCTCCTCTCGCTTTACGACAACCAGATCGCCACTATCTCCCCCGGAGCCTTCGACACCCTGCAGGCCCTCTCCACGCTGTAAGTCCAGCCCTCTGCTCAGCATAGCCCTCGTGGGCCGGGGCTCTGGCGGCAGCATCTGCACCTGGGAACCCCGCCCACTGCCCTCCCAGGGCACGTCTCCCTGTTGGTCACTTTAAAGGACAAACTCGGGGGATGCGTGGTCCCCGTGGTGTGTTGAAACCTGGGGCTCACCAGGCTGGAGCGCTGCCCTGGGCGAGTGGTTGGCTGGGTGTCTGGGGGAGTGTGGGTGGCTGTGTGAACAGTGTGTGGCGGGCAGCAGAGGGCTTGGCTGGGGTCGCCGAGACAGGCGGGTGGCTACGTGGTCACACGAGCCGTCTCTTCCAGAAACCTCCTGGCCAATCCTTTCAACTGCAACTGCCGGCTGGCCTGGCTGGGCGACTGGCTGCGGAAGCGGAAGATCGTGACCGGAAACCCGAGGTGCCAGAACCCAGACTTCCTGCGGCAGATTCCCCTGCAGGACGTGGCCTTCCC